TAATGGGCCAAAAGCCCATTTCGAGCTGGGCTGATATGATCACCCATCTATGGGGCGAATCTGAGATTAATGTTAGTAAAAGGATTAGGCCTTTAACCTTATCCACTCCAGGAGACCAAATTCAAATTAGATTTGAATATGGTAACCTCCTGATAAGATCAGGAGTAAACTAACTCAATCTGCAGATAGGATTAAGATAACCCTCTATCCAAATACAGATTTGGATTGGGATAACTCTTAATTAGGAGGTTTCTTAATCAAGAAGATAAGAGGAGAAACCCAACAGAAATATATCAGATTTCGAACCAGGGTTTGGGTGAAAGAATACTCCCTGCGAATTGAGATTAGATCTCATTCATACTGCAGAGAGAAGAGAAGCGGTTCAGCCATCTTCGTCCCTGGAGTTCTCCTCCTACCGCCGCCATTCTCTCTTGCAAGATTCGATCTTTGCAGCAATAGGAAGTCAAGAAATCAGTTCTTGATATCAGTCTTGCATGAAAGACTGAAGAAGATTCGGTGTTCAGAGTTTCCAGAGGATTCTTGTGAAGGATCCAGTGTGTAGGACGCACCATGCTGGTTCTGTTCCATCCACAACTGTGTCATTTTCAGCAGGAGCGGATCTTGGTTTCTTCTTTGGGCGTGAACACCAACTTTGGGAGATACTGCTTCTCCGGATCAGGTATATTCCTCCCTTTTACCTTTTGGTTCAGATCTGGTTCGAATAGGGTTCAAGTAAGATCCTTGAATATGGTATTCTAAATTTAGGGAATACGATTCCTAGTTGGAAGAAGGTAGAAAATTTTTGAAATTCGCCCACCCATTCCGCAACAGTTTTGGCGTCCATTAGATGGATCCTACCATTCCTTCAATAGGGGTGTAAACGGATTGAATTCGAATAGGATCAGGCAATATCCGAATTCGAATCCGATTAGAAAATCCGATATCTGACGGATATTGAAAATTAATATCTGAATTCGAATCCGATTAAATATTCGAATATTTGAATATTCGATTCGAATTCGATTAATTAATTATTTTAGATAATTAATAAATAAAAAAATAAATATTTTATTGATATAAAGTATATAAATATATAAATTATATAAAATATTTTATATATTGTATACAAGAATTAAATAATTGGTCGAATCGGATATTTATCGAATCGAATAAGGTCATATCCGAATTCGAATCCGATTAACTATTCGGTAAGAATAGAATATCCGAATTCGACCGATTTTATATTCGAATTATCCGAATTCAATTCGATTATGTCGAATATCGAATTCGAAATGGATTTTCGAATACGGTTGACACCCCTAATGACGAACACAACTCATCATATATGGTACGGTACTGTGTCGGACACGATCCATCAAGAACATGTCTAAATGGACCTGGGCAAGTCGTCTTCTTCGCTTGAAATTCATAATCAGGTTTGCGTTTGCACAACCCAAATCAATAACCGATTTCAGACCATCCATTTTTGGTCACTTCTGGCAACCGATCAGCCTCCAATAGATTGGAAAAGGAGGATAGTCAACTAGGGATCAATTTCTGGCATATATTTCGCCAGAATACGAGCAAATTACTGAAAAATGCAATCTACATTTTTAAGCATTTTAGAGAGGCTCTGATACCAATTTTGTTGGTTTTTAAAGGGAAATCGGCCCCAAAGATAGTGTTAAACAAATATATATTCAAATAAATCAAAAATAAAATTATACCTTCCTTCTCTCCTATTCTGAATTTGCAGACTCTGTCTCAATCCGTATCGATTTCTTAGATGAATCTCTACTTGATTCAAAGCCTCCAAAGAGAGGGGAAATAAATTGAGATGGACGCCTCGCTGAGTGGTGACCTTCTCTTTTTATAGGTTTTCTTGAGGCAATCAAAAGGTCCACTCATCAAGGACCTTGATGCCTCTAAACATTTCAAAATGCTTCAGTTCTTTAACAGCCTAACAAATGTATTTAATCAACAACAACGTGACTACGTGGTTAGTCTAACAAATGATTAAACTGAATAATTGGTTATCTTGGTTTTAATGGGTGGCTCCCTCGTTTGGTAACTTGTTGGGTGCTTGCTTATCTTAATTTTAGTGGGTATCACCATGTTTTGGATTTGAGAAAAAGATTGAAAGAGAAATTAAATGTTTTTTGAACCTTGATATGTAAAGAATTATTCTTTTATAGGTATGATGCGTCTTTGTATTGATGCCTAATTTGACAAAACTATATATTAACCATTTTTTAATTGATTTTGAACGCTAATAAAAATTGAAATTTATATATATTTATAAAAACTGAAATAAATAATTTAAGATTTAGTTTTCTCCAAAAAATAATGAAAATTAAAAATTATAAAAATATTTTTTTAAGTACGTTAAATGATTATGTGCTTCATCTTGCATATTAATTACATGTTAAAAAATGAAAGCATATTTATTATTTGATAAAAAATAGAGTTGTTATATAAAAATAATAAATAAATAAAATTAATAAAATGGAAATTATAATTATAAAAGCTAAAATAAATAACTTAAGCTTTAATTTTCCCCAAATTAATATAAACTAAAAATTATAAAAATAATTTATTTTATCTACCTTAAAATGTTTTGTTTTAAAATTATGTGTAAACTAAAACAAATGTTAAAAATAAAAATATATTTATTATTCGAAAAATAGAGTTATTTTTTTATACAAAAATAGTAAACAAATAAAATATTCCAAAAAAATTAATAAAAATTGAAATWGTGATAATTATTATATAATATATACATATTCTAAAATCCCAGTATTATTAACATTGTAATGTTTCTGTTTATATACATTATCCATAGACGATTTTAGCTTAATATTATGTATGTATTTGTATAATTTATGCATTTTCTTAATGCATCTAAATGTTTCTATATCATTCACCCTATGTCCTTATCCATGCATTTCCAAACTATCTTACCCCGTAAACAATATTTTGATCCTTTGGATACAAGAATTTCGTGAATTAGTAAAAGCAAGTGTATATTTGACTAATTAACACTCATCTACAAGGCAAATTCATGATTTATGATTCATGAGCAAATCGAAATCGGACGGAATGACATGATCCGGGTCCATCCCAGCCCAAATCCAAATCAAAGTATCTTGCCGAGCCCAAATACCCGAAACCCCTCTTCGTTTCCCCTCTTCTTCTCTTCATCCTTAAACCTCTCCGTCTCCGCCGTAAACCTCCACATCCAACTCCTCAGACAAACGGAGCAAGCTCATTAACATCTCTCTCTCTCTCTCTCTCTCTCTCTCTCTTACGAAGAGACGACCAAATGTGGCTCCATCGGCCACTGCTCAGCAGAGCTTCCATTCAACTCCGGTTCTTCTCCCAGGCAGCAGCAGCTGCGATCCTCCACGAACCCGAAGTCCCTCTCACATATCTCGAGGAGTTCCCCAAACCAGACCCAAAGTACGCCGAGACGATACTCGCGATCCCTCGCTCCACATCCGGGAAGAACATATCAGCCAAGGAGAGAAAAGTCGGTCGGGTGCCCAGCATCGTCTTCGAGCAAGAAGATGGCCAACACGGCGGCAACAAGAGACTTATCTCTGTCCGGACCAATCAGATCAGGAAACTAGTCAATCATCTAGGTCGATCCTTCTTTCTTTCAAGACTCTTCGACCTCGAGGTTCGCTCAGAATTCGACTCAGACGAGATCATTGAGAAAGTCCGAGTTTTGCCTCGAAGGGTGTGTTCCTGATCTTTAAATCATCAGTGTTGTGTTGCTATACTGTCTGTCCTTGTGCTCTAAAACTAAGTTTGAACTGATTTTGGAACATTATTAATCGATTTAGTGGACAAAGCATGTGGACTAACTTCAGCTTATGAGCTGTTAACTACGATGCTCTAATTGTGACCAACAATCATTTATTTTGTGCTATGCTGTTTGGACTAGGCATTGTTGAGAAGCATCTGACGGATGTAATTATGAACGCAAAGACATTGGCTCTCAACTATTGTCTTCTAGGTTCTCTTCTTTTGTCTAATTTGAAAATRTTAGAAGTTTAGTCTGCATTTCTTATCAGTTAACATTTGGTGTTAATGCCTTATTATCTTCCCATTGGCTCCCCTCATTTCTGTAATCTTGTTTCTTAATGTTGGGATTGAAGGTTGTCTGAGATACCTACTTTGTACTTGAAGCCCATAAGCCACTGGCCACAATGATCGCGCAGTCTACCGCCTGCCCCTGCGCTTCCCGGGTTCCCGAGCGAGCTGCCATCAAGGTTCATTTTTAGCCAATTRGGAGGGGGATTAGTCCAACTAATGAGAATCTCTCGTAGAGGGGTAGCCTCTAGGTAAATAATCCCATGCTTACCTCGCTTGTTGTAAAATCAACTCTTTTTCATGTGAAGGCCAAGTGCAGACCTGATCAAATACCATCTTATTAGGCCATTTCCATAAAAAGCATGAAGCATAGACAGAAATTGTTGCCCAGGGAATGCCGTTGTAAAGTGGCATGACTTTGCAGTTGCTAAGGACCCATTCCTTGAAGYGGCATGGAGAAGAAACTGGACCCAAAGAGAGAAATATCCAGCGAGAGCCATAAATGCTGGCTTGAAAGTCAATCCCGCAGTAGGTGTAGAATAGATTCTGGATCAGTCAAGAATCTTGGGCGTGGATCATGAATAGATAGTCCACGACGTGTCCTGGCCATCTTGGTTAAGAGTGCCTCATGCATGGTTCACCATAGAAAAAAAAGGAATACGATTTTTGCAAGGCACTTTCCAAATCGCTTTCCAATTTTTATCTGCATCATCCATATGGGGACTGGTTTTCAGTAAATATGCAGACTTGGAGCTAAATTGGCCACTGGTTGAAGCTCTCCAAGAAAAGCTATCTGGGCCCTGCGCGTTTACATCAATAGCAAAAGCAGCAATTTTCAGCTTTCAGTTGGCAACTTGAAGCTCATTGATTTTCCAAAGACCAAAATCACTGCAGAAATCCGAAATGGGCCCTTCCACCTCGTCCTCGCTAAGTTCAGTGCAGGCATATTCAATAAGAGGTCCRTCTCCAAGCCAATTATCTAGCCAGAATTTTGACTTTCGTCCATTTTCCACCAAGATGCCCAAACCCTTTAAGAGTACTTCTCTGCCATGCAAAATGCTTTTCTATGTGTAGGAGTCCCCTGCTTTCAGTTGACAAGTAAGAAAGTCCTTCCGTGCCAAAACTTGGCTTTGAAAACTGCTGTCCAAAGACACTGCTTTTYGCTTAGAATCTGCCACCCGCTAAATAAGAAAGGGTTGATTTTTTTTCTTCTCATTAATAGCCCCATGCTACTTGGCCTTGACCACTTTTTCCCCCATTCAATCATATGCAACTTCCTCTCCCTTCCGCTTGAACCCCATATGAAGTTACTACAAATTTTGTCAATCTCATCACATATAGACTCTGGCAACTTGGTTGGTCTCCTACTAGAATTCTTTCCCAGTCTGATGATGCAAATGCAACTCTCAACCCACCTATTAGTGCGAGAATAGTTTCCCTAAGAGAATCTCCTTTCTCCAATGAAGGTAGGAAGTGTTTCCATACATTCTAAGTGAATGGGTAGAATAAGAAGAGATGGTTACTATCCTCACCACTCTTCTTGCATAGGATGCACATGAGTTGAAAGACAACATTTCTTTTTTCTACACTGCCTTTTCTCATTGGTGCTTAGAATTTTGAGAACTACCTCCTATGAAAATGATTGGAAGGTCTAGCACTTGAGACACAGTATAAGGGAAACTAGATCTTTAGCTACTAGACTGAATAATTTGTTGAGATTGGTGCCATATCCGATAAGCTTGCCGAGGAGTCACTGTGGGAAAATTTAGTTAGGATATAACAGATAGGGGTGGAATGGTTGTAATGTAACCTCAAACTTATCTACATGTGTGTCAGGTATTCTTGTTTTTTCCTCTTATCCCATGTATAGGATTTAAGAGGAAGGTTTTGTCATTCTATGTAGTATTATTCGACCCAATAGGATCGGTATTTCTGTTTCTGATAATAAAAAAAGTAAAAAGTGATGGATTTGTTCTTTTTTTTTTCTGTTTCTAAAGTAGGATTTGGAAGGGACTTTTCGTATAGTACAAATACAATGCCTTTATAATTGTGTGGGTTTTGCATTTTTGTTTCTCAAGGCCTCTTTTTTTTGTACATCCTTCCCTCTTTTTGAATACAAATAATCTTTTCTCAAAAAGAAAAAAAGGGAAAGATGGGATTATGGATAGTCCAAACCCGGGAAGTGCAGGGCAGGAGGTAGACTGCACGAGATGTCATGCCTATGATTCAGCAGTACATTTGGCTTGTTGTTGTCTATTTTTGTCCTTATTCATATGTCACTCACAAAATTGATCCTTGACCAAAAATTTTAGTGTATTTATATTTGTGAATATGGTTTTGCTTAAATATTTCTGAAAAGTTCTAGATCAGGGGGTTTTCATAGCCTTAAGTGTCATTAGGGGAGACATATGGAAAGTCAGATGTCATATTTGTATTGGGTGAGGCAGTGATTTAAAGGGTGTGTCGCCTAGGTCCCAGGTGCAGCCCTTTCAAAAGGCGCACACCTGGTGCACCTAGGCGTGTGCCTGATGCGCCTTGCGCCTCAGCCCGGGTGTGCGCCTTTTGAAAATTTGGCACTTTTTTGCGTTTTTTTGAACAAAACGGCTGGGCCAGGGGCCGCCCCCGGACCCCCGTGCCACGCCCCTCGAGGCAAGCCCAAACAAGTCCACGTTAGGTCTTAAATTCTTTGTTTTTCACACAAAAGTGATGATTTTTATAGTTTTAATTGCTTTTTAAGAAGACATTTTATTAGGATGAATGAATGAGCAACATTACCAAATTGGGGGTTCTCGGAAGGACTTGCCTCGAGGGGCGTGGCACAAAGACGGCTCGTAGAATCAGGAATGTAATATGTTTTACATTACATTAGCTACTTGAAGTAATGCAATTGAGTGAAAAAAGAGATTAGAGGTTTTACATGCTTGAAAATGTTTTATATGTTTGATTTTATTTTTAAATTCTCATTTGAATATGCTTTACATCTTATGTTTATGTATTATAATTTTAGATAATAGGTTCTTTAAAACATTTATTTTAAAATTTAAGTTTATATTTTTTATTAATATTATGTTTAATATTTTTTTTGATTTTTTTTGAATTTTCTGACATTTTTTTGTTTTTTAGCATTTTTTTTTTGTATTTTTGCGCCTTGCTTCAAAAAGGTGTGCACCTCGCCTTGCGCCTTAGGTGCAAATTGACCCTTGCGCCTTTTTTGTGCCTTGCACTTTTAAAACACTGGTTTTGTTAACTATCGTTTAGATTAGTAACTATAATTTGCCTTGGTATGTGTACATAGGAGAGACAGTTCCACCTATATTATTAATTTTGATATGTATCAGAACCTGGGTGCACTTTTTCTTCAAAAATGACATGATAAGTGGGAGATGCTGATACTGCCTCTCCTCTCCTTCTTTCCCTGTTAAGGCGGTTTTGTCTCGGCCAATTCCTCCAAAAATCAGTGCATTTTGTTGGGAAGTATTCCATGGTTCCATCAACACTTGTGACTTGCTTTAGAGAAAAAGACCAAAGTGGTGCTTGTCCCCAAACTTCCTTATGTAGGCTGAATGGTGAGACTGCTCTTCACCTCTTTATATCCTGCCCTTTTGCTAACTCTATTTGGGAGTGGTTTTCCTATCAGTTTTGTTGCAGTTGGAATCTTCCTGCTAATCTGGAAGATCTTTTTAGCTCCAAAATTTTTTTTTGATGAATGATATTAGCTCCAACATTTTCAGGTGCTCTAAAAGGAGAGGAAAAGCAATGGGAAAATGCACTAGAGCAGTAGTGACCTGGACAATCTAGGAGGAAAGAAATCTGAGGATATTTGATGATAAGGAAAGAGGCAGAGATGCTGTGACTGAAGTGATAACTATAAGGGTGGCCCATTAGGTGAAAACTTTGAAAATATTTGCAGATTTTAAGATAGAAGATTTCTTCAGATCATGGGGAACAATTGCAAATATAGCTTATGGAAGACCTATTGTAACTGAATTCTGGTCCCCTCCAGATGTTGGGTGGAAGAAGCTAAACTTTGATGGGAGCTGTTTGGGAAACCCTGGCCCATCGGGCATTGGTGGGGTAATAAGGGAGGAGAATGGAAATATCATTGCCATGTTCTCAGGCCCTACCCAATATGGTGATGTGGTGAATTCAGAATTGAAGGCATCAGTGTTTGGTGTTGAGCAAGCTAAAGAGTTGGGGAGTAACAGGTTGATTATTGAAGGGGACTCAAAAGTCGTTGTAAACTGGCTGAAAAAAGAGGAAGGAGCAATATGGAGATTAAGAAATGAGTTCAGGCGTTTTAAGCAGGTTTCTAAAGATATGGAAATTCAATGGATTAGGAGGTCAGCCAATAGCATAGCTGATGGTCTAACTAAGCAAGAAGTCAAAAGACAATCTATGTTTTGGGTTACATTGTAGCTAGTAGGATATCCCTTGGGTCCTTTTGGGGCTTATTTGTAATTAATGAATTTCTTTGTTGGGTTAAGCTTGGGTCTGTATTGTAATTAGTGGGGTTTAGGTGGACTTTAAGTCTACCCACAACTTCTTGTTGTACACATTCTGATAATCTAATGAATCTTTTTGTGTTGCTGATAAAACAAAGATGCTGATACTGTCTGTCATTTATTGATATGTTGGGTGATATAATTTTTTTTTCTTTATCTCTTTACATTGATATTGATTGTGATTTCTTTTGAGATAAAGTAGGTTTCATTCCAATTAATGTTTTGCAAATATATATTAAAGACATTTCTTTATATTATTGAACATTGGAGTGGGTTCATTTTAGGGTTATGGCATGTTAGAGCTCATTCTGGTAAAGGTAGTGAACATATCTCAAAGTAAGCATGCATTTGTTTTAGTTCAACTTTGTTTGCATTAATTGTTCTTGTTCCTTCTAGCTTGGTACTTAAAATCTCTGCCTCACCCTCTATATTGCATCTTTTGCAAATTTTATAGCTTCATCTCCACTCGGGAACAGATGCGGTATTAAATGTCACATTCTTAAGGGCTCCATCAAGTGCATTATTGAAGATCGAAGTTCCTCTTGTATTTAGAGGAGAAGATGTGTGTCCTGGATTAAGAAAAGGTATGACAATTATGACTTTCCTTCCCTGGCTTCCCTACYCATTTCTCCTCTTTCCTTTCCTCCTTTTCTATTTTTTGTACTTTTGTGTTCTTCGCTTAATTTCTAAAGTTTTTCAAGTACAAACTGGGTTACTCAATAGGCATAAATAAACCATGTACGAAAAATACTAGTTACCATATTTGTTTGGGGATGTGAGGTGTTTTATTAAATAATAGTTTTTATATCCCGGTGGTGATAGGTTCACTAAGAGATTAGCTTCGTGGAAGAGGAATTACCTTTCCTTGGGTGGTAGAATCACTTTGATTAAGTCTACCTTGATCAACTTGTCAATTTACTTCTTGTTTGTATTTAGGATCTCGGAAGGAGTGAGCAGGGTGTTGAAAAAATTGATTTGAGATTTCCCGTGGGAATCGGGGAAAGAAAAAAGAGATCATAGAGTATGGTGGGAGGTGGTCACTAGAAGGAGGTGGGTGGATTGGGGATAGGAAGTATTCAAAGGAGAAATGAGGCTTTACTGAAAATTGTTACGGAGGCTGCCAAGGTAGGAGGATAAGTTATGGGTTAAGGTGATTGTGAGCATTCATGGGCAAATGGCAGATGGTTGGGATGCTGGAGTTTTGGCAAGGGCTACACGAGCTTCTCCTTGGAAATCTATACATGCCATTCTTCTTTGTCATTCATTATGTATGACCTATGTTCTGGAAATTGGGTAAAGTTCTAGGAACATACTTGGGTGGGAGATGTGACCTTGAAAGAACAATTTCCTTCCATGTGTTCCATCTCTTTGTTTAAAAATGAGCCTGTGTCCACCTTTGAGGTACCTTCAGATTCATTTCTTGCCTTTGATTGGGATTTGGGTCTGAGAAGGGGCCTTAAGGATGCTGAAGTCAGCCATGTTTCTACCTTAATTCATACCTTGGGTGAGGTGGCCTTGGTCCAGGGAGAAGGGATAGCAGACTTTGGACTATAACCTCTTATGGTGAGTTTTCTTGTGCTTCCATTTTTAGGCCTTAACACAACCCTCTGATAGCTCGGGTATGGACCTTCCAGTTTTGGAAGATTGGGGCAAGCCAATTCCCCCAAGAATTGGTGCTTTTTGTTGGGAAGCCTTTCTGGGAAGATGTAACACTTGTGACTTGCTCAAGAGAAAAAGACCTAATTGGTGCATCCTTTGTAAGGCAAATGGTGAGAGTTGCATCACTTATTAATTTCTTGCTCTCTTGTCTCATATATTTGGGAATGGTTTTTCTCTTTATTTGGTTGTAGATGGACGCCCCCTCTAGATGTACAAAGCTTGTTCGCCTCTTCCTTTTTCAGGTGGCCAAAGAAGAGGGGTAGACTGCTTTGGAGATGTGCCAGAGCTGCCATATGCTGGACAATGTGGGAGAAAAGAAATTAAAGGATATTTAATGAAAAGGAGAGGAATAAGGAGGCCATTATTGAAACAATTACTATTAGAGTGGTGCATTGGGTGAAATCTCTAGATTTGTTTGCGAATATCTCTACAGATATGATAAGAAGAAATTGGAAGGAAGTGGCCAATTTAGCACCTGCTAAAACCAAGATTAATCCCATTTGGTCTCCCCGGCCTCTGGCTTTTCTAAGATGAACTTTGATGGGAGTAGTAAAGGTAATCCAGGGCCTTCTGGAATTGGAGGAACCTTCAAGGATGAAGATGGGAAAGTCATTGCTCTATTCTCTAGCCCTATTGGTGTAGGTGATTCTCTTTGAGCTGAGATTCTGGCTGTGATGGAAGGAATGAAGAAGGCACATGAGCTGGGCTGCTGCAAGCTCATTATTGATGGGGATTCAAAATTGGTCATAGGATGGCTGCAAGAAGAGAAGAGTGGTCTCCGAAAGTTTGCTAATGAAAAAAGAATGTTCAACTAGCTAGCACAAGGTGTGGAGATTCAGTTTCAATGGGTAAAAAGGTGTGCCAACTCTTTTGTGGATACCCTTGCTAAGCATGGGGTGGGAAGGGAACAATTGTTTTGGCCATTTTGTAATTGAATTATATTTCTTATTGGGGAGGGTTAAGAGAGTTTACCCCTCCCTAGTCCTTTGTACTTCTTTCTCTATTGAAAGTTTATGTTATCGATAAAAAATATGTCAATGCCAAGTTTAACCGAATAAGATACTGGAATTAGAGAAACATGGCCTGTATACACTCTAGGAAATGCAGTTGTTATATATGCACCTCAAAAGAATTCTACTTTGCCCGTCTTCTGCATTAATATGGTATTATCTTATTTCAGAAGATTCCTTTCTAATGGTTTCTGGTCTTATTCATAATGCTCAATGCCTTGGCATCTTCATGTATTCATCAAATCTGGTTATATTTCTTTAGTACTTAAGTCCTGCTTTGAATCCTAAATTTGAACGTGAGCTTTACTTTCAAGAAGATTGAAAATGAGGTTAGTAGGTTAGGTTGTGATCCTCTATATTCTTGTTGTTTCCATGGCTGTTACTGAAGGGATGAGAGATCCATCCTATGGACGCCCAAAGATTGCGGAATAAGGGGCGAATTTCAAAAATTTATCTCTCCCTTCAATTGGGAATCGTATTCCCTATTTAGAAAATCATATTTTCAAGGATCAATCTTGAACCATAAACTGAACCAGATTTGAACCAAAAGGAGTGGGAGAG